GCCCAGGTTGAGAGAGGGTTAAAAAATGAGAAAGAGAGAGAGAAAACAATGAAATAAAATTCCTCACTCAACTGCTCAGAGACAGGGGGAAGGTGAAATGGAGTAAGACAGAGGGAGAGCATTCTATGGGATTTAAAGTACAAACAAATAGTGAACAATTAGGAGTTCCTTTGGAGAAGTACTGTGATAACCATGGTATTTCACCCAACTAGCCACTTGTTGGGAACCGCCCTGACTGGTATCAGAAGCTGAAACCCCCGCCTAGGCTAAGGCTAAGGGAATGCCCTTGGAACTGTAAGCCAGCAAGGAGACAAAAGCTTATCTTCCTGGCAGGAATGCTGCTTCTGCTGCTTTATTCATGACTGAACCCCAAAAAGCTTGGTCAGTTAGCCAAAGACGGGTAAGATTCCCCACGGGGGGAACGACCTAAGACAGGCACAATCACTTTGGGAGGCCCCCCAAAAGAAGGACTTGGGGAGCTGCAGCAAAAGGGGGTGATGGACCCTCGCTCCTCGGCTTTGACATAGCCTGAGTTCTCAGCCTCTGGGAAAAAACCTCCTTGTCTCCCAGTTGCCTTAGTTCCCTTGCTCCACCTAAACCTGAAACAATGACAGGGTGGTGCAGCTCTGTGCTGAGAAGTGCAGATTCCCCGGGGTGATCAGGCCTAAGAAAGAACATGTAAATTACTGTGAAACCTTCTTTGTTTAGAATGCTCTCAGTTGAATGAGAAGGGTCTTAGGAGGAAGTTAGTTTGTTCCTCAGTCTTACAGCTCTTTGACCCCGACTCAATAGACCAGCAGAGTTCCTTGTTTTCTATAGTTCCTTACTTCCCCCTAATGAGTACTGTACTTTACCTGAATTATTATGCAGAATGAGCCCAATAAAAGCAGGTATGGACTGTAAATCGGCACGCTCCCCACTAGGGGGGGTGGCCATTTCGTCCCTACTTCCCCACAGAAACTAGTCTGTCTCTGTGCATGTTGTTTTTTCTCGCATGTTTATCGTCGAGCCATCCGCAGCGTTTTGTGGTCACTGCTGGCCAGTGACCCACGCACAACAGCCACTGTTTATAAAAGGTTGAAAAGAAATAAGACTCTTGTAAAAGGGAAAAAGGAATGTAAGCTGACTTAAGAAAGAAAAGAGCTTATTCAAGGTTAGATGGAGGAGAAATAGTGAGATTAAGGGATAGAAACTAAGGGATAGTGTGAGAGAAAATAAAGTTTACACCAACAGTAATAAAACTCAGGATGATGTCGAAATGGATTAAGGTCGGGTAAGGGTGCTGTGTGGGATTTGGAATAACAATAGTATGATAAGAAATATATAATCTGAATAAAAAGAAAGACCAAGAGTAGTGAGTTATTTGGAATATAAGTGAAGTGAAAGAAGAAAAAATAAAATGCCATATGAAAGGGAGAATAAAAAAAAAACAAGACAAACAAGAAATTAAACAAATGGAAAGAAGAAATAAATAAAAAGAACATGCAAGTTCTGATGAAGAGCAAAGTGAAATTTGTCTCAACTATTGGTTTTCACCATCTGACTTCTTTCTGGATCTGTCTGTGGTTTTCTCTCAGCTCTAGGTCTTACGGTCTCTCTTAAAAAAAAAAAAAAAAAGCCTCCTTCTGATTGTTAAGCCTGCCCAACTGGTTTTGCAGATCTTCCTGGTACCTGCAGGAAATTGGGTTCTGCAAGGATTGGGGTTCAATGTAAGCTACAATAATCACAGGTGCCCAGTTTCCAGTCAACACTCCCAGAGCACGATGCTACATGTACACTCTCCACTCTGTGCAGTTACTCCAGTCTGTCCCCAGTAAGCCACCTCCCTTTGCACCCCTTTAATCAATCCATGAGGTGTCCTGAATGGGAACAAATCACTCTCACACCACTCCCTCTTTGTTGGCCTGACACTGTGCACGGGTCTCTGCACAGTGCGCTTCAGTTCCCGTCTTGCAAAAAGTCTTTGTGGGCGCCACTACCGCTGTAAGCTACCCCCCAGCTTTTCATATACTCCGACTCTGGGGCAAGGCCAGAGTCTATCTAGGTCACAGACAGTCACAACCCACCTCCTCTCCTAGCTCCAGGTGCCACCAGAATCCCCCAATTTTTCTGGCACTATCCCGGCCAACGACTGCCACCCCAGCCTGGATATGTCGCTGGCTATGTGTGTGCTTGTTGCCTTTTTTTACACCCTGCCCCCCCCAACCCCGCCCCAGGGACTTTATGCTTCTAGGTCTCCCCTGGTGCAGGTCTTGGACTTCCCCACCCTGCGAGGGGTAGGAGCTGCTAGGCTGCTATCACTGACCCAGCTCTCCTCCAATGTCCCCAGCAGCCCCAGTCTCTGGCGCCAGGCCCTGGAACCTTCCCTGTCCAACCTCCTTACCACCCATTTTGAAGCATCCCCTGCACACTTTGGCTTCCAAACTTCATATCAGCTAAGATTCCATTGGCTGTTCACTTTGTTTTTCAAAAGATCAGATAAGTGCCCTAGTTCAGTGCACAAGCAAGTGGGCTCAAGTCCCACCTACTTCACCACCATCTTTTCTACTCAGGGACTATTTACTTAACACCTAAGCTATAGTGTTTGTGAATGCCACTGATGGTAAAATTTCATAGCAGTTAGTCAGGAAAAGTCAACTGCTACTGTTACAGGGTGCAGCCAAGAGGGGGGACCCCAAATGGACATTTGAAATGGGGTCCAGAACTTAAGGTGTCCAGGAGATTTTAAGATGTCTCCATCCCCCCACAGGTGAGGGTTGGGGGAAGGGACAAATGGAGCAGGGCCATTGAGAGCTGTTTTGCATAGCAACAGCCTTGCAGCTACCCTCTGGCGTGGTCATTTAACATATCTATAGCCTTTGGCTGGTCGCTTAGATATGTTAAATAGCTGTGATCATCTCTGAGCCAGGGGAATGGAAGTAACTTCCCCACCAAGACGTGACTGGGGGCAGATCCCCCAAGCTACAGTGCCTGCGTGGGAGCTCGGAGAAGATTGACTCCAGGACATGGGGCCACGCCTGCCCAGACTCAAGATGGCAGCCCAGTAAAGCTGGAAGGATATGAATTCTGGCATGTGAAGCCGAGTGTGGGAGGGGTCGGAAATGAGGCTGCAGAGGAAGATTGGCCGCAGGGATTTAAAACCCAGACTTGGCGGCCATTGAGAGAGAACCACGCGGCTTTGATGGAGTGGAGACTCCTGCATCCCAGAGAGAACCGTGCTACTTTAGGAGAGAGAAACACGTGGCTTTGGCAGAGTAGGGACTCTCCCCTTCCCGCAGCCCTGAAAGGGAGAACCACGAAGCCTGGACAGAGCGGGGAAGGCCCAGGTAACACAGACAACATTCAATTAATTGTGAAGGATGTTCTTTTAGGGTTTGTAAGGAACAACATTCTCAGTCTTTGCTTCAAAAATATCCTAAAATATTTGATGACCAAATCATTTGATTTCTAATATTTGAGAACAGTTCATCACAAAAACAATGCTTCCTTAAAATGTTCGTGTTTCACCTTAGCACCATCTCACTTTTTAAAGAGGTTGTCTACTTATCAAAATTATATCAGAATCTGGAGAAAAAAGTACTGGAAACAGGATCAAATTCATATAAACTATTAAGCTGGTTTGTCATTTCAAAGTTATCCAAGAAGAATATTTTGTCTTCTCTGTCCAGTAGAAATTAACAACCAGTAAAAGAAATCCTTCTGTTTTTAGTACTGTAACAGCCATAATGAGGAAGTCCTTCACAGCTGACTGCAACTTTGCCTGTGGAAATTTCTTCTTGGTATATATATCTTGAACAAGACATTAATTCATAGGGAAAGTGGAGAACTAAAAGAGCCTAAGTTTTGACCTCACTTCTTCTCTCCAGTATATCTTCTGCCTTGTATTCCTAATAGCTCTTTCATTCTAGTGTTCATTAGAAATGCCATTTGTATCTGAATAGTAGCTGGACAAAAAAAGATCTTTCCCAAACCAGCTTAATAAGAATTAGTTGCTCTGATTAATAAAACATTTACTCCTAGACCTCAGTCAGAAGGGAGATTTCACTTAAATAGGTCTGTTCCTTCCACAAACATTTTTGTTATTGCCAGTTACTGGGAAAGCAACTGAAAATACAAGGGCAAGAGAGGTGAGATCCTGACCTTGAGGAGTGATACTAGAGAAAGGTGACAAACACATTCAAAACAATTGCTTGTGCTAGAATAAAGGCATATATAGGCAAAGTGCTGTGAGGCCCATGGGAGGCCAGGAACTGCCTATGCATGGATCTATAAGAGAGAACTGACTAAGCAAAGGTAGGGGAGGGGATTGTTGCTAGTTAACATTTATTAAATGCTTACTATGGTGGCAGATGCTATTCTAAGTGCTTTTTATAACATTATCACGCTTAATTTTTACAACAACTGTCATCCCATTATCCAGATGAGGTACCCCATTAGTTGAAGCCCCTTGCCAAAGATCAAACAGCCACAATCAGCACCCTTGTGCTGCACAAATGAGGACCTGAGCGTGCCATCATGTAAGGCTTGCTTATCACTGTCTCTAACCACCACTGTCAACAACTCTACCTTCTACCCTGTGAGGAGATTAAGGTTTTAAGATTTGAAACTTCTTCAGAGCAAATTATACCCCTAGTGGTGGTTCTCAGAATTTAAAAGGATGCCCAAATCCATCCTTTTAAATAATCCTTCTTAAGAAATGTGTTTCCATAAATTTGTTTTCATAACTTTGAAGCCACTAACTATAATGTAACCTGCAGGTAGAGTTGCCTATTCAAAGGCATTCTAAATACTTACCAAACTCAATTGTATAACTTACAATGCATAATCCTCAGTGAAATAAAATTAAAGCTTGCCTATTTATAAATGTCCCCTAATTCTACATTCAACTGACAAAGTAGAATTTGAAAAGGGTCTGATCAATGACTATCTTTACTGATGTATGTAAGAAAAGATAAGGCAGAATTAATACTTTTCAGGAGACTAAATTAGCACACAATTACCTCATTATTTCCAGATCCTGAATCCTGTTCACTAGAACTTTCTTCCAGAAAACATTCCATCTTCTCATCCTTGTCCATGCACTGGAAGAAGGCCATTTTCTCCCGGTGGTTACTGTTGTAGCACGTGGTGATTTCTTCCAGCCTCTTCACTTTTAATATCTTAGTGGAGAGTTCAATTAAGTTACTGTCTGGAGTGTGGTTTTCATCTTCCTCTGTCCCTGATTTGTAAATCAAGACGGAGTTGTGACTTTTGATTACACCTTCCTCTGAACTGTAAGGAAAAGAAACAATATTCTCATCACTCACATATTTGACTTTTGGGAAAATAACCGGTGAAAATTTTGAAGTCTCTTCTGTTTAAAATAGAGACAGGGTCCAAAAACAGGAAGAGAAATTTTAATATTAATATTGAGTTTCAAATGATAAAATTTTGAAAGAAAAAAGGTTTTCTCCCTACATGTTCCTACAAAAGCAAATAGTAAGAAGCAACCATAAGCTTCACCAGGTAACAATATTTCCTCATTGCATAAAATAATATTTATATCAAGGGACCAGTTTAAATACAGAATATAAAGTTTCTTTGTATTTAATTAGGACTGAAGATTTTGATTCTCTCATCCCCAGTAGGAAGGGCTTCCTGTGTAAAGGGTCTCACATGCTTCCTTTGGGAATTTTGCCTTCCTCTGGGGAAAGGTCTCTACCAAATGAGTCATTTCCAGAGCCCTTTTCTGCCTACACTTCAAAATATTTGGTGTTCATTTTTTTAAAAGAAATTTGCTTCCTTATAGCCCTCTCACATAGATAAGATACCCAAATGCCTTTCTTTTCATCTTCATTAACAGCTCAGTACCATGGAGTTAAAATCCTTGTGCTTGCCTTAAAATACTTTCCTTACAAATTAGGTAATACACATAATGCTGCTTTGATACTGGAGATCTACATGCATGTATGCATGCATGTATTGACACATCCCTTGATTATGGTAGGGTGGTGATTCAAATTCGTGGGAGCTTCCCATCACCAACTTCTGAGGCCCCCTGCTGGAGATTTTCTGAAAATTTCTTCTTCCAGCTTTTGTCAATTTGAAATAATCTGTGATTATCTCCACAAAACTTCATCTTTCATTTTCTTAACTCATATAGTAAAATGACACCTTGAGGTTCAAATTATTTAAGATTCAGTGCTCTACAAAATTCATTTTAGCCACATGAAGATCTTACACCCAAGCTCACTAAAATGTAAATAGTATCAACCAGAACTCTACAAGAAACATTATAGACCACTATTAGAATTCTTTCAAATTGCCCTGGAAAAAACTCATTATTAAAGTGAGGACAGAAATGCATGACTATTCCTAAGGCAAATTACAACTAAAATATAACATGTAATTGCAAATGGTACTCAAGTTGAATCAGAAACCGCAAAAAAGTAACATTAAAACAAAAGCTTAGGTCCAACATACAATAATTTTGGGAAAAACTAAATGTTAAACCCTACCTGGAGTCTGGTACAACTTGTTATTTAAGGCAACATGGAGAAAAAGAGAAAACATTTGAGAGGTTATAACAATTTTAAAAAGTAATTACCATTTATAGGACATCTTATAATTTTGACCACTCCAAGTGTAGAGCATAAGTTCCGACAGAAAAAGGGAAGTTTTTCAGAGTTCAAAATAACTACACAATTGTATGATATAAGTCTTCACTGTCAGTCAGTATAACTCTTCTGAAAAGGCAAGTCTCCATTATGAAAAGGAGTATCCTCTCTCTCAAATGGCACTTTAAGCCCCTGTTTAAATTAATATGGTCCTTGGTTTCATGTTGCTCAGCTGTTGCCTTCTTAGTCAGATGGGGAAGAATATTAATTTTAGACACTAGGCTTTTCAAGGCCAGTGGCTCCATTTCAGAGGTCAGGTAAGGAAAGGACAGACTGGGAGCAGTGGATGAAATATCACCTCCACCTTTTCCTTTCATCAGCATGGCAACACTCTCAGAATTATAAAACTGCATTTGTCTTTGGAGATCATATGTCCAGATATGCAGCCCCTTTCACACTCACAATCATTTAACTGCTCATTCCCAGACAGGAAGATCCTGGCTGAGGGAACCCCACAACCACCTTTGCTTACTCATTTCACACTTTAACATGAATATGAGAGATCCTCTGAAAGCACTTAGCAAGTTTTAATTTTTTTTAATCCTTAAAATCATTTGCAGTATCTCCAACTGTTTATAGCTCTAGGGAAAGATTGAAGGCACGGGCATCTAGGGAGTTACAAAGAACAGGAACAAATTTTCATAAACTCTTCTTACAGGCAACGTTGTGCCTTTCCCCCTGTTTTTCCATCACAGGCTAAGAAAAGACAATCTGAGCAAATAACTCACCTGCCTGATTCTAACAGTAGCACATTCCTAGCTTTATGTAAAAAACATAAATCCTGGATTGCTTAGAACATAGAACTACTAATACAGACAATCCTACAATGCTTCAAGGCATGGATGATTTTCCCCCTTTTTTTTTTCTTTTTGGAACCTTTTCTGATTCCTCCACCCTCTCCACTCTAACAGCATTCTCTACTGCTCTCTTGATTTTCCAAAAAATATATTTTTAATTCAGATCAATGATGTATTCTATATAAAATAAAATACACTCTCCCACTTGGATAGCATATAAAGAATTATGGCAAACTCTTTAAAAAATAGAACTTCTGGTACTTTTCTAGAATTAGAAAACTTTGTTCTTCAGGAAGAATAAGCAAAATTTTGTATTTGTTAGAAATAAATTATTTGACAAAAGTGTTCATGAAAAGACTGAGCTGACTTCAGGTTACTAATTTTTCTTGACATAATAAAGTGTGAAATAGTGCTGATAAGTTGACAGATCTCTCCACAGAAAGAATACAATGTGTACAGCCTTCTGCTGATTTGACCATACCCTCTACTCAGACCATCAAAACAACAAATCAGACTTTCCATCCCTTCAGCTTCAGCAAACCAGCCACAAGCTCTTGTGAGCAAGAAACCAGCAGAATACATTTGTTTGTGTTTTCTTAATTTGTTAAAAATGTTAAGAGTATTTTTAAATCTACAAAGAGGTAAAAAGTGATAAAATAGTAGTTTCCTTATGCCCATGCCCAAATTTCCCTATTTTTGCAAACTTACATTGATATAATGTGGTGATGATTATACAACTCATTACATTGCCTAAAACACTGATAAATTGAACATTAAGATAGGTGAATTTTAAAATGTGTAAATTATACTTCAGTGAAGTAATTAAGAAAACAGAAAACCCAATTCCAGTAATAAAAAGTATATATGTTTTTAAAAAAAAGAAGAAGAAAGCACTACTGAACAATTTGTGGCCAGCTATTTCAGGTGACCAACATGGGAATCCAAGAGCATATAAATTATAACCCACACCTGTTGAGTCACCTGGAGCCGACACAAAGAGGAAATGGTGAGTGGGAAAGAGTTAAGACCTTCACTCTTTTCTTCTTCTGGTATGAATACCACATAATATGTAAAGCTGTAATTAATGGCAAAATTAATGGTAATTTAAAACTAGCTTCTATCTCTTAGTTTCTACTGAGAGATATAATACGTTGATCAAAGAGGATGATGTTGTTACAGAATACCAAGACATGTTCACAACCCAATTTAATATTAGACCCTTAAAATTTCCAAGTGCCTGTGAGCAGCTAAATTTTCTGTAATTAAAAAATAAAATAAAATAGGAGGGTTTAAAAAACTAGATAAAAGTACAGATGTAGCCATTTAATAATTCAGCCCTTCATAAATATTAAATAATATTTTAATTAGTGACTCCTATAATGATTGCACAATTTTTCCATCTATTATATCCTCTTTTACTTTCTTTTTTCTTTTAAAGATTTTATTTATTTATTATTTTTAGGAAGGGAAGGAGAAAGAGAAAGAGAGAGAAACATCAGTGTGCGGTTGCTCAGGGCCATGGCCTGCAACCCAGCCGTGTGCCCTGACTGGGAATCAAACCTGCGATGCTTTGGTTCGCAGCCCACGCTCAATCCTCAGCCCACTGAGCTACGCCAGCCAGGGCTCTTTTACTTTCTTGTAAAATGTAAATACATGTCACTGAATCAATATAGTCTACAGAAAACAGAACGTGTGATAATCAATGGTAACAAAGCACATTGCACAAATACTATTCATAAATTCATAAGTTTCCAAAGCTTGTATGATTTTTGTTTCTGACCTATTTTTTTAAAAAAAAATTAAAACAACAGAGAATTTGCAAGAACAGTGCAATGAATATCTCTACACCCTTAGTATAGATTCACCAAATGTTAACATTTTCCGTATTTGCTGTCTCTCTTATAATGAGTTACAGATCTCATGAAACTTTATTGCTAAATACATTAGCATATGTCTTCTAAGAACAAAGACACTACCCCACATAACAGGATCTAATAAAAAAATCACATAGCACATTTTGTTGTCATGTCTCTTTAGTCTCCTTTTATCTATTCAGGGAACAATCACCCACTCTATTTTTTTTAACACTTCATGACAGTTTTGGAGACTCTCGACCAATTTCTTTATAAGCTGTCTCTCAATTTGAATTGCATGATTGTTTTTTTATGTTTGGGTCCAGGTAAACTGCTAGACATAAAAACTATAAGTGATATTGTATCTTTCTCAGAATGTCACAATAGGTGGTACATGACATAGCTTGTGTCATGATGAGTCATATTAAATTTGGAGATCTGATTAAGGTGATATTTGCCAGAGATCTCCAATGTAAAGTTACCCTTTTGATTTTTGTAATTAATAAGTAACCTGTGAGAATTTATTGGTATCCCCAGCAATCTATCACCCTATGATTTTAGTATCCATTCTTCCCTGAATAAATTATTACCACAGTGATTGACAAATGGTGATTTTCCTAATTCTATTATTTCTCCTACATGTATTAATTGATATTTTTCTATACAGAAAAGCTTTCTATCCCCATTCTGATCTCCTTCTCATTTTAGTATCAGTATGAACTCATGGATTTTTAAAAATGAATATACTTTCCTTATTGCATTCATTTTGATGCTCAAATTGTTCCAGATTTGGTCAACACAAGTGCCTTTAAATTAGCTCCTGAGTACTTTTAATATGTTATTACTATTTTTTTAGAGTACTTCCTTTCTTTCTGGCATAACAAGATGTTTAAAGTTCACCTTATATTCTTTTTGCCCTATTTCTAGAATCTATTATTTCTCAAAGGAGCCCTGGTTCCTTTTAGGGAAGAAAGATATTTAGAAATCAAGATGATAGCAATTGGAGTGTTCTTTACTACTGGGGTATCATTGCTTCTAGTCCTTTCAGTGAACAGAGCTAGGAAATATATATGAGGTCTTTCCAGAAAAAGTCCAGCCATTGATAATTAGATGAGAACAGTTTGTCCAACATCAATGTAATCTGGTAGCCAAGGAGAGTGGACTGGAATGCACAAGTATGAACAACGGTAACTACACTGTACTAGTCAGTGGGGATGGAAGACGCCACTGAGTGAGCATGTGTACTGTGAGGCCATCACATTCAAAATGACTGAAAGAGAGCAACAAATCTGCATCAAATTTTGCTTTAAACTTGAACATTCTTCTGTGAAAATGATTCAGATTATTCAGAAGGCCACAGCTATGAGCAACTGGTGATTGGCAACTTCATCACAACAACACACCCACTCATGCATCACGTCTTGTGCAGAGTTTTTTTGAGAAACATCAAATCACTCAGGAGACTCAGTTCCCCTATAGCCCAGATTTGGCACTCTGTGACTTATGGCTTTTCCCAAAACTAAAATCACATTCGAAAGGGAAGAGATTTCAGACTATCAATGAGATTCAGCAAAATACAACAGGGCAGCTGATGGCAATATAGAGAACTGTGTGAGGTCCAAAGGTGCCTACTTTGAAGGGGACTGAGACATCATTGTCCACGTAAAAAGATACATTTCTTGTATCTTGTATCTTCTTCAATAAATGTCTTTATTTTTCATAACAGATGGTTGGATACTTTCTGGACAGACCTCATATATATTTTTAAATCATGGGTTCATACTTATATACTTCTAATTCCAACCCAACACCATAGGAACTTTCTGCCTTTTCCTCCATTTCATGTTCATTTCTCCCTTCCATTTATTATTTAAGTCTGAAAATGAAAGAACAAAATAAAATGCTTGGCACAAGATAAAATGCATGATACTGTTGTGAGACAAATAGGGAAAATCTGAATGTTCATACTCAATTTTTTAAAAATTCATTCTATGGCATGAGTCATCATTTTTTTAGTTTTTGAAATTGGAGAAAGGTTATATTAATGTTTACATTCTTGGGAGTGTTTTTCTACTTTCTAAATTGGAAGTGAATTTCAGAGCTGGAAGAAGCTTATGATAGTAACAAGGCATGAAATTACAGAAGTGCAAAGCCCAAGTCATGTTCTTCTGACCAAATGTTGGACTACTTTTCCCAAGAGGGCAAGGTACAGGAGAGAAATTTTCCATACGGAAAAAGTGCTGTGTGGGGGATGTGGTATTTAGTGGCTGGTGGATAGATAGGTGAAAATTTCACACACTCTCAGAGATGTTATTTCCTGGTAAAGGTAAAAGTTATATTTTTCACCTGTAAGTGTAACCTAATCAACAAAACAAACAAGCAAGCAAAGTAGAACCAGAGACATGGAAATAAAGAACAAACTGACAGTAACCAGAGGGGAGGAGGGAAG